TGCTACATACTGTATTTACCATACAGATCTTGGCAAGGTAGCAGAAAACCATATTTCCTAAATTGAACATACTGTGATGCATGATTCTTTTAATGTATTGTAAAAATGTCTGTCCTTTCACGTAATGCATTAAGCTGGATTTTGACATCTTATAACTAAAAAGGATAAAATATTGATAAACGGAAGAACATGTAGCTTCTGAGCAATCTACAGCTTCACCAGGACTTACAAAACTGTGTAACTAAAAGATTTAAATCACTGTAAGGAAAAAAGCATTGTAAAGTCAATGACTGCCATTGTGCTGGAGGGGGAGGAAAGGGAAGGCGAGTCTCTTGGATGCCCAGGTCACCAACCCTTGACCTCTGTTCTCAACCCTTGAATCTGTCATCTGTCTGCTTTTCCCGCCTTCTCTTCCTCCCCCTGTTCTGTCAAAGGAATTTGATTATGGTGGGGGGAGGAATGTGGCTTCCTAAAGTGATGCCTTTTTTTTAAACACTCAGATGCTCAGGACACTGTGAACAAGTGTGATATATAAGCAGCGTATTTGTAGCAGCTCACATTACAACTCCACTGTCAACTGTTACATCTACAGTTCTTTGCTTATGTGCATTTGCACCTAAAAAATAAAAGTTTTTTTTATTTTTTATTATGCTTCTGGAAAATAGGTCTGTAGGCTATGACATAATAGCGTACCACAGAAAGCCTTCTGCATCTCTGGTGTAGATCGTTGCAAGGGGGGAGGGGAGATTGTGGGGGTGGTGTTGTACAGTGAGTACACAAGGCGTGCTTTTTTCTCTCATATGCCACAAGCTCATATGTATATACAATTAGTGAAGCCTTTTCCTTCAGACTGGCTCTGACGGCCTGGCCCCCATGCTCCTATTCTCTTAACTAAATCCACTATGTCAGTGGACACCGGAGCACAATGAGGAATAGATACCCAGCTGGATATTCCCCCTGCTACAGACTAAGCTTTCCACGCGCTTCCCCAGTCTAATAACGACACAACAAGAGTCGTGTGACTAGCAGCACCCTTCCCCCACTCGTACATATTACCATTGCTCCTCAGTGCTGTCTAGAAAGGTCATGTGACCCTCATCAGCTTTCCGGGTTGGGGGAGGGGAGGCAGATTGAACCTGTTCTTTGTTAGGAGGTCAGCCTCAGCTCTATGGCAGGAAGCGCTGCTACCACACAGCATGTAATAGAAGTGCAGAAGGGGCAGAAGGCAGTGTGGAGGGATTAGAGGCGACTAGAGGTTTTGAGCATTCATGCGGTAGACAGCAAGCAAATAAAGCTCACATAGCGCAGTGCTAAGGCTTGCTTGACAAATGGCACAAGGCTGATGTAACAGAAAGAGAAATAAATGAACCAATTTTAGGTCTCTGTTTTCATTAGCACTGGCTCAAATGTGTGGATCAGTTAACATAAGCATGCGATCACTATTGCTGTTTGTGTGGGGAGCTGTAATGACAGTTCAAGGCTTGGAGAGGGCCAAAAAATCAAGCAGGAATATTTTTTATTTAAATAAATTAAAATAAATATGGAGGGGCAGTGTTTCTTCAGGGGGAACCAGCTACAAAGCTGCAGGGTAAACCTTCAGAAATTCAGTGCATCTCTACTGTTTGCAGATGATGTTGTCCTTCTGGCTTCATCAGACTGTAACCTCAAGCAGTTTGCATCAGAGTGTGACGGGGTTGAGATGAGGATCGGCAGCAGAATAATACAGTCTGTTTATCAGACCATGTTTGTGAGGATGAAGCTGAGCTATAAAACAAAGCTTTGACTTTACTGCTCAGTCTTCATTTCTCAAAGTACACATTGTCATAAGCTCTGACTACTGAATGAAAGAATGGGAGACTGAAAAAAGTTTATATTTTGTAGAATCAAATATTTTTAGGCTCAATGTATGAATGTGTGCGATGTAGTGTACAAAGCACTTTGATTAGTCGCAAAGACTAGAACGGTTGCTATACAAATAAAGAGCATTTACATTTACCATGTTTGACTGAAAATAATACTTTCACAAGTGGTGATTCTCAGACATCCTGATAATTGGTATTCAACTGTTTATTACTGATCGTGTGTCACTGTCTTATAATGTAGTCACTGTATGAATTGTTGCAAACACTCCAAATACAAGAGTAAATTGTAAACATCATTACAATCTAAACTAATCTATCTATACTATAATCTAATAAACATTGGATCATACAGTATGTGCACTACCACATCAAAGTGCAAATGTTGAATTAAAAGGTTCAATATTATCCAGTATGAGCAGTACAGCAAAACTGTGACATAATCTTAAGGAACATACTCTTTCAGAATTAAATACTGGAACTAAAAAGTGTGTCAAATAAACAATGTCAAGGAACATCGGTTTGCAGTACATACAATACTTAAAATATGCTGAGTACAAAATTAAAATGCAGATGGTTCATATTTGAATATAGGGCCGGATGTATGAATGGAGCAAACTTCTATTTGTCATTTTCTGGAAATGAGATGCCTCACTTCCTCACTGAAATGTATCACAACAACAAGAAAGGGCTCTGAAACTGTTATTTGGCAGGCTGGAGAGCTGAGCTCATATATCCATTTATCTGCTGTCATCAAATATGGATAGCTCTAGAGAACAGCCCTGACTGACATCTGCATGAACTTTGTGTGTTAATTTTCATTGTCTTTCATTCAGACCACAATACCTGCAAAAGCTAGCATTCCTAAATGTAACACTATCCTGTGATGATTATGATCCAAACAAAAATGTGGACAGAAAAACCTAGCAACGGGCAAACAGGCAAACTCGTTGTCATTAAATCCCTTGAAGAGACCAAAACCAACAATGATTTTGTCATTAGACTAGACACATTCTTTCATTACAATAACCATGGGCTCTGTAGTTTTTGTATTTTGAGTCTTTCCCACCATCTTGGCACTATAAATACTCATTAGAGCACCACATTTATTTCAATCCACAGCTGATAATCGTCCATATATTATATAATGAAGGAATTTGTTTTTTTCATGGGTTGAATCAAGAAATAAAATTGACATTATCCTTTAAGTTGTGGGACACAATTAACTCTTCTGTGAACACTAAGCAGTGTCAGCCTTGGTCTTTATCTTAGGCATAGCTGATGTTACCTCAGTGGGTGCCATCTTAGATTGTGTGGTAAATGGTGGTGCCAGAACTGCCTCCAGCTCAATACAAACATTACAAAAGAGACAATGGTGGACTTTCAAAGAACGAATCATCCCTCTCCCAAACCAGTTAACATTAGATTGTCTAGGCTGTCCTGGATACATACTGTACACTTACACGCTGTGCTAGACAACACTTGCTACTGTTCTAAATCAAACTACCATTACCTGCATCTGCTCTATATTCTTGGCTGTAATACTGCTCCTTGCTGTAATACTAGTACAATTTGTTGTATAACTGAATAATACAATATGACTGTAATACAATATGCACGAACCCCCCCAACTGACAACCACTGCAATAATCTCGTCAGATTCCACCACAGACTAGCCTTGCTTTGACATAAAAGACCTGATCACATCTTCAAATATTTATAGGCTTTCCTTTAGGTTATTTTACTACTGTAGTTTGCAGTTCTGCAGTTTTTCATTTTCAAATTATACAATGTGAATTTTAAGTTTATAATCAAGGATTTAGCCAAGATTTTAGAAATAGTCAAGTCATGAACACAAGTCCTACCAATACAACTCTCACCCCTCTTGGAAATTTTAAGACAGGTACTCTCTAAAATCAATTTTTCATATTTTATAAACTTGGTTTACTGTTGAATGATATGTTATATCAATAATCAAGGTCTAAATGTTGTTCAAAGCCTTCTCCACAATGCCAGGAAAAACGCATTTCTGAGTCAGCGTGTAATGTACACATCACAGCTTTTACTGAAGAATATTAACTCTCTCTCTGGTTAAATCCCAGAAAAAGTAGGCCTACAGCGGACATGACCTCAGTGTCCTAATTGGTAACTTCGGCCTATTTACAATCACATTATGGCTATTATCATGGTCCAAATTATGGGAGGATTTGGGGGGGTTTGACCCCTAGATTACATTTCATTCACAACATAAGCAAGAGGAAAGGAGATATTTGCTAAAAAAAAGTTGAAACTTAAAACTTGAAATGATAAGAATTAGGAATTAGATATGAAAATGCAGACTGTATTTTATGTTAGTGTTTATGGTGGTTTGAGCGGTCAAGATGGTCTGATCTTATGTGTCTGACATTCTGGCAGTTTTGCTGTAGAATGTTGACCTCTGACTACGAAAGTTGTCGTGTGGTATGGGGCACCAATGAACCGGTGTAATGACTTTGATTTATCATCAACAGCCTGCACACATTAACGTTAAATAAGCAAGGAAAGTCTAAGCAAGATTTTTGTTTACTGAAGCCCGCGCCTGAGCTGTACTGGGTTTTCTTTTTGACCTGGAAAAGAAAACCCAGGACAGCTCCGAGTACAGTGACTGGTTGTCACTGTATAATTTGCACCCTGGCTACTATGCTGTAATTTCTCCACCAAACTCAGCTTTTAATAAAACTTCTTTCCTGGATACAGCATTATAAGCTCACATTCTTATAACTGTAGGCTACTTAACTAAAAGCATGCGGATTTGCAGATGAAGCTGCAGCAGTTGTGGCTTCAGCATGGAATATATCATGCGTAAATATTGCCGTGTGTACGGTAAACAAAGGAATGTGTCACACCAGTGTAGAGCCGTAATGATGTCAACTTGTTATTTACTTTCCAAATCTGAATGACTGAGCAAGGCGAAAGGAGAATTAATCAACCGCTGTGTGACTGGGCAGGCGAAAAATAGTGGAGTGTGGGGGAGGGGAAGTGGCTCAGAGGCCAGATAGGCAACATGCTAGACTGTAGCCTGTGAGACCCAGCTGAGCACACTGTCTCTATTAAAACAAAATATCAAACTAATAATACACTGTAGGGCGGTTTTTCGAGAGGGTGGTATTTTAAAAGGTTTACATTGTGCGACCAAATGTATATTCTGGGTCAAATTTAAGCCACACTCAGTTCCATTTTAGGTAACTTACACATTTAGATATAGAAAACATACAGTAACGTAGCTATGTCGTAACGGTAAATAACCGTAACAACATGTTTATCTGATCATGTAAGATGGATATACTATGCCTTTAAGATAGCTAGCTAGTAGATGTTTACAAACTGACATTTGAGCATGTAATCTAGTCACTTATGGCAGTGAGATATACACGATTCAAACTATGGCTGAATCAATTAATTAATCTATATAATTGGCCGTGTTTTCTTTATTCAGGTTTAAGGTCAGTTAGCCTTCACCCCCACCACCACTCTCTCCTATTCGCTGTCTACGTCTCTCTCCCGCTGCCGATCAGCGCTTGCTGCTGTGTCTACGTTCCTGTTGTCAGTGAACGGTGAAACTCCACAGAGTAGCCTGCAGCCTCAGCCACAGAAACTCGGGTTTATTCCAACTTTACTGCCACTTGTGAGTGTGCCTGAACGAGTAACGCTTTGTTAGCACACCAAATTAGCCGACAGTGAGTCACACAGCAAACGGTCGGAACTTGAAATATGACGATAAGCAAAATGGGTGGAAAGTCATTGCTAGCTTGCTGAAGTTGGAGGTTCTCCTTGTGGAAGAGGAAGAGGTGGCGGCGGCGGCGGCAGACACCACGAGTTCACTCTCACAATAAAAAGGTAAGCCAATAAAAGTCGAGTGGCATGGTTTAGGCTGCATTGCGTTCAGGCTGCTTTTGTGTTTGTGTGTGGTTTACATGCAGGAGGATAATGACTTTCAGAAATTGGAGATTATAGCGTTGATTATGTGGTTGCCGGCACATAGCGTAGTCACCCATTCACTCCACACGTGTGTTGCAATTCCTGCTTGTGTCTTTTAATTTTCTCTCTGTCGGTGTTGGTTATCCAAACAACCTACTTTTCTGAAACTGTCGTCTTTATACTTACATTAAACCTTGGTAGCTGAGCTGTGGTCGACTACTTCGCAAAATACAATAAGTTTTAGAGGTTGAAGGTTGTCCCATTGTGGTAGTTTGATAGCTGCTTTGCCCTTAATAACACAGTAGAAAACCTTCACCACATAAAGTTGCACCGGTGCAGTTTTAAGTCATTTTGTTCAAGCGGAAATATGAATCATACATATTTATATTGCCATGCAGACTGAGGGAGCGCATGAGTGGGGCAAGGCATTCACACTATACTACACATTGCCACCAGTTTCCAAGGGGGCAGTTCGTGTTACTGTACAATGTGATGCTGTTTCCTGACTGCACAGCAGAACAGAACAGAGGCACCAATATATCAAAGAAACCCTGCTAAATAAGACACTTGAGGTCATGGGGCTTTCACATCTCCACAGAACACTTAATAAAAGACTTCACTTTTATAAAGAGATTAAGAAATGTTGTGTGACCTATAATTTCTTCTAATTTCCAACTAGTAAGCCCTGGCTGTTCTCTGTACATGGAATAATGAGAAACAGCATGCACAGACACAGTTAGGATGTCTCGCCTAACCTCTGAGCATCCAAGTGATCATTATCTCTATTAGGGCTGGGCGATATGGCCTAAAAATAAAATCTCTGATTTTATTTTTTTTTTATTCAATTTACGATTTTTTCCAATTTCCCCCCCTACTTAAGGAAAGCAATAAGTACAAACGACAGACTACTTAAAGCAAATTTTGCTTTTATTTAATCAAAAGCAAGACAAATGTAACCCCTATTTCTGGGATGAAGTAGCACCATTTTCTAAAGCATTAACAATATATTAAAATCTGAGGAAAACTAGACAGTGACATTTTTCATTGTGTCTAGCCCAAACAATGCAACAACATACAGGGATACATGACATGAACATGCACATCTTACTCTTAGCAGAATTAAATTTTTCAAACCAAAAACAAAAAATATTCTCTTTTATTGCACTTTGCATAGAATTTTAAATAACAACCTAAAGAGGCAACACCTCTGTCTTGGGTAAAATAGTAATGTAAACAAAAATTTAGCAGAGTACAAAATGTGCAAAATAAATTACACATCAACTCCAACTGATAAAGTGCAAACTTTGCTTTAAAAAAAATATACCGTGCCATTTGTGTCCCTGAAAGTATGAACAGAAAAGAAAAATCACATTTTGACTGAGGTGCAGAACATGAGATATGTCTTTTCCACGGTATATATGGGTACCATGTCTTTGGCTATATGCAAAGCGACCGCTTCGGTGATTGTTCTCCACCGTGCCCCTTTCCTGTCATATGCGGTGCCTTGTGCAAAGGATTCGGCTACAGTTAGCTGTTTTTTAGCTAAGGTTTGTTGGTCAGTGCGGCTTTGTTCATCGCGGAGAGACTGGCATTTTTCATATTCGGCTGGATGTCTCTGTTTCAGGTGTTGGAATAGGTTTGTGGTGCTGCTACCTTTCACTGCGATAGGCTTTAGGCAAATGTTGCAGCGTGGTGTCTGTTGTTCCACATCTGTCGCAGCAAACCCATACCAGTTCCAAACAACAGATGACTTTATTCCTTTCTTGGGAACAAACTTCCCGCTCTCACCGGTAGCCATTTTGTCGCTTGCTGTTGCTGTTTAGTGTATGATGTTGTCGCTATGGGAAACGAACACTACGGAAACCCCGGGGAGCCAAAAATGTGCTATTACACAAAAACTCGATTTACTTATTTTTTAAATCGACCGCAACAAAAAATTCGAATTAATTCATTCAATCGATTTTTCGCCCAGGCCTAATCTCTATTAAAGCAAGACATGAGAAGGATTAGGATGAAAATAACTGCTAAAACACACTGCTGTTTGAATGCTGTCTTAGCCTGATTCTACTTCAGTGACCCAAATAATTAATGCCAAAGTGATGCCCCATTTTCTTGTTGATAAGAGGCTGTTGTATGTTGTTTGTTCACACTTTCAGTCAATGTTGTGAAGCTTAATGAAAGCAAATGTAGGCATTTCAGCAAAGAAGTGGCATTGGTGGGAACCACTTTGGTGAGATGGACTTCATTTGACATTTTGGCTGCTGCTGCCACCTTTTTGGTTTTTTTGAATAGTAGGTTATTGGTCATAAGCTGGATGACAAGTTTGTGTTCATTACAATGAAACTTAAAATATTATCAGCGAATATGAACTGGGCAATAATTTGAGATTATTGTCTTTCTCTGGAATTGTATTGTGACAATACGATTACATAATAGGGATGTATGTTACAGAAATATCGAGGTAGAACAATTCATAATCAACATAAATGCAACCCACGTAGCCTCATCCCACATTACGTTGTCAAAATTACGTTAAGGCAGTTCCAAACAAAGTCTACAAACACCCTAACCTTTTCTATGCTATTTGTATTCTCAGATGTTTTGGTGTCCCAATTTTTGATCTGCAGATTTTGAAGATTTGTTTTCTGGCCTGATGTCTAAAAGTGGGGACACATTGTGTTGCATTGAACACAAGTTTCATGATTTCTAAGTGATTTTAGCTCATATTTCCCTATTTTCATATTTATTTCATTTGAAAACTTTTCTTTTTAACATTGTGATATTGATTTCAGTCATTTTGCCTTGCTTTGTGTGTACCAGTTTTGTCACCACAGTCAAGAACTTAATTGCAGTAGTTACAAAAATAGGTTTAGTGCCACCTATTTAAAGAACAATAGGAGTTTTATTATGTCTTAACTGTATTTATCAGACCACTTAATGTTTTACATTTATTGATCCCTAAATATGTTATGGTTTGTGTCTAAAGTCATTACCACATCCCATTGATAGCCCTGGAAGATCTAATATTTACAGAGTGATTAGCTGTAAGTTTTCTCAATGCTTCATGGACCTTGACACATTTCCTAGTTAGCATTTTGTTCTTGGGGGCTTTTAATGTCTATCTTTTGCGTTTCAGTAGGTGGACATAGTTAGCTGTGTTCTGAGTCCTCAGAGGGCATGAATGAATAATGTTGTTGGTCTACAGGTTATTGTCTGTCTGCCTCTTGTTCAGTGACATGGCTTGAGATGCGACCTATTGTCTTTGGTTTCAGTGCTGTGTACGGTCTCTGGTCCAGAAAAAAAGTGGATGGCCTGGATTTGAAAAATCACAATTCATTTATCTACTTGCTTGTAGTCGGCCCTTGTTTTGCTCTAAATAGATTTTTGGTAAGTCATTCAAATGTAACTACGATGGACTGAATGAACTTAGGCATAGACGAGACAACAGCAAATCCAAGGTACATTGTGTTTGTGTGTTCAAAAAAGAAATATATTCCTTGCTTATAAGTAGGGCAAGGGAGTCCCTGAGAAAGCCCATGTCAGCCTTGTGGTGCGGCAAAGCTCTGTATCGGGCTGTCCAAATATTTCTGTAGCAGTATTTATTTATGATGGGCAATGGGGGGGGTTGAGCCATTCTCTCCCTCCAAAAAGAGACATACAGTGTGCATGGGCTACCAGCCAACTGGCAGACTAGTGGTTACTCTGAAATAACGCCCATACAAGTACTGGCTAGTTCAAGGCTATAGTTATTTATTTGGATTTATTTTGGATTTAGGGTGGCTCTGTTTATCGTGAACTTGTGACTGTTGTGCCTTGACTCTGTCCTTGTGTGTGTATATAAATTAAAACAAGTGGGAGGAAGCCACATGCTTCAGGGGTGTGTTAAATAACTATTTCAATGTCTAGCAGCTTATCAGTTTCTATTTTTTTGTGTCTGAACCCACCATAGTGAAGGTGATTCAGTTTCCTTCTTTAAAGCAGCCCAAAGGAACTTGAATTTTGTGTTGATTTTTGGCAGCTACTGGACAAAAGCAGTAGTGTTTCTACCGCCTTGTGTCATAAAGATCTTTATCTGGCTAGTGCGTGCATTTGTTTTGGAAACGATTGAAGGGAAAACACTATTTTAATACTATTTTTCTTTTTTAAACATCTGTTTGCAGAATGCATAGCAATGAGGTAATGTGTCTAAATGTGGCTATATGAGATCACTAACTATAATATGACAATGGTGAAACAACGTAAACTTTGTTTTAGTACTGTTCATACTCCTAGGTTACATGTAAGCCTACAACTAACAGATTTGGTTGCTCAGTAATAGTAAAGAAAGCTGAAGTTATCAACATTCCCTAGTAATATTCTGTCTTTATAATAACCTTAATAAGCAGCAAAATATAGCTCTGCCAACATAAAATATTACGTTATAACCCAGTTGTATTACACTAATGTCCACTGTCCACCTCCATGGACTGTACACAGACAAATTACTTACCTGTCTAAGAGGAAGAGAGCAAATTCAGGATCTGTTTTGATCCTTTCAAATTCTCTCCATCTGTTGAATGACCAAAGGTCAATTGTGTTATCGCCCTTGTTCTATCACTTACCCTTTTTAATTTTTTTTTTATTCTTCTGTCAATTCTATTATTGTTTTCTTTGCTGATCCTGCCGCAGTATCAGCCATAACCACAAAATATAACGTCAAAAAGTATCCCCCTGCTTTCTTTTGCCTGGGAGAATGGAAACATAGGTTCTTTCGGTCTGCATGGTAGATGCAGTAAATGGTTTCATCAGATTTTTGCAGGGAACCGCACCCGGTGACAGGTATTAAGAATAAGTAGTATTAAACTGAGATTATTTCATAACCAGTTAAAATCTCCTTGTAATTTTCTTTAAAGACTTAACATCTATTGTTAATGAAACAC